GCTGTACATTTCACTTTCACTTGCCTTTCCTAAGGGAAAGTCTGTATTTTCTTATCTACTTGCTTTTGTGTGCGTGTCCTTCCCCGGCTCAGGCAGTCGTCTTTTCTCCTGTTTCCAGTCACCGTCCGCGGGAGGCCAGGCAGTGGGGTGGAATGCGCCAGGCAGGAGTGGAGGGGGCCTGTTCCCTGGCCCCGCATGGCCCTGCCTGTTCTGTGAGGGACGGGCCGGCGCCCTTTCCGACCAGCGGTGTGCTGCTGTGCGTGCCTGCGTGCTGGCATTTGCTGCTGCCAGGCTTTTTAGTTTTTGCCCAGTTGTGGGTTTGTAGTGATACCTCATTGTGGTTTTAATTTGCATTTCTCTCATGACTAATGAGGCTGAGCACCTTTCCCTCTTTATCAGCTATTTCGCATTTCCATTTTGTGAAATGTTCTTTTTTCCCATTCTCCATTAGATTGTTTGTCTTTCATTGACCTGAGGTGTTCTTTATACATTCTGGATATGGACACTTCTGTGCTTCTCTTTTTAAATTTCTTTTATGTTATCTTAGGATAAAAGGAAAACTTTAATTTTTATATAGTTGAATTTATCAATATTTTCTATTATGGCGATGCTTTTATGTATATTTATGACATGTTTCTCTATATATTTTATCATATATTATTTTCTAAAATTCTGCCAACCTTTTAGATTAGCATCTTCCTTAGCCATTTTCCGCTCACACCACGCATAGCGTCTGACTCAGCTAACGTTCTTGTCTTTGAAGGAAGGGGATTCTATGAGGCGTTTTGCCATTCTCTTACTGACACAAGGCTTATGTTCCTCTTCAAGGAGAGAAGTCACGCTGCACCTACCTAGCTTTTCCTGAAGGCCCGTCTCCTCCCCTCTTGGGTCTCTCATCTCCAGATTTTGAGGTTAGGCCTTGTCCCTATTCCCTTTGGTGGCGAGCTTCTCATAGCCCCCTCAGCTTCATCTCTGGCGTCACTGAAGAGCAAGATTATCACTCACCAACCGCCAGAGCCGAAGGACTGCAGCTGGATGGAGAAAGGGCATCGCCTGTTCCTCATCGCACTGCCACGCCCCTCTGTCACCCTGGGTTACCTTCCGAAAGGGGACAGTAGGTAGCCTATGGATCTGTCCTCGGGAAAACTAATTGCAGGGTGTGTCTGACAGGTGTTTCTTTGAGTGTGTGCACATGTGCTGCGCACTGGTGTTTGGGGAAGTGGAATTCAAGGAGATTAAGTCTTGCAGTGTGCTCTTTCATGAGCATTTTTAGCAGCTGCAAGTGACACTTTTTTCCCCCTATTAGGACTCCCCAGTTGATATCTGCCTGTGTTTTCACTGTTAATTTTTGTTAGCAGGGCCTACGTCATGCCCGTCCTACATCTATACAAAGATGTATAAGATATATTTGATGAGCATATATAGTCTTAACAGATGAGGTCATGGAACAAGACAGAGTAAAAAAGTTTTGCATGACCCGGCGGCTCGATTCCCTCACCATCCGTTTTTGTCCTGTCCTCCGGAGACTAGGCTGACTCTCCAGGGAGAACTAGTCCCCATGGCAGCGCGCTCGGGATCGTAGGTGCAGTCAGCTGCCCCCTGTCTCAGGTCTGTGGAGGAAACCAGAGGGGTTTTTAAAGTCCTCAGTTAGCCAGGTCAGTAATACATTCATTCTTCTGAGACCCCTTCCCCTTACTTTGAGCCCGGAGCTCTCCAAAATACTGCTAACCTGAGCCGGTAGCCTGCAGCACCAGACCTTCTACTCTCCTCTCTCGCACTTTCTTACAGAGTATTTTCTATTTGTAGATATGCCTTTTTCTGAGAAGGAAGGAATTACAACTTTCATCTGATTCTTAGAGGGATCTGCTAAACTTGAAACTAGGGATCTGCTGAACTAGGCTTTTCAACTTTTTTGAGGTCGGTCCCATAAAAGAAGGCTTCTTCCTTTGCATATCCAAGGGAAATTGAGCTTCTGGTTTCTAACCCACAGACTCTTGTGTCTGGAAACTGTTCTGAAAGCTCTCTTGCATCCTGACGATCTTTTATATTTCTTTCTTCATTGTTCTGTATTCATGTTCATGTATTCGTTTGTCAGATATTGAGTGCCTAGACTGATTGTGCAAGTTTCTGTAGCAAATACAAAGATGTGTAAGATATATTTGATGAGCATATAGTCTTAACAGATGAGGTAAATCATACATACAATGCTAATATAGTGAAGAAATTGGGAAGTGTTTAGAAGAGGTGTAGATAAATTGCTTTGGGACTTTAGAAAACGGAGAATTTTTTTGCCTAGGGCAGGTGAAGGTGACAGGATGGGGAGGAAGTGGGAAGACTGGTGGATTCTGGGCTATAGAAAATCCAAGCCATTTGGACTAGGTCTTGAGAGATGGCTAGATCAGCATCTGGAAATGTTAGATGCAGTGTACCATCTCTGGTCCTTTATTTATTCAAATGAGACTTGAGTACACACTGTGTCAAGCCTAACCATGGTCACTTCATGGAGTTTATAGTTATTCAGGGAAGATAGACTCTGAATAAATCATAATCTATTAGTATCTTCATTCATTCCTTCATTTATTCAATCAATCAATATGTATTTGAGTGGCTACTAAATGCTGTTCTCAAATCTCGGGATTCAGCAGTGAATGAAGTAGACAACCTCTGTGCTCATGAAACCTAAGTTCCATATGGGAGACAGAAGGTAAATTAGTATGTAATGTGTTCACAGGTAGGGAAAAGTACAGTGATGAACGAGAATGCAGGGTAGAGTAATGACAGCAAGGTGGGGCTGTTTAAATTAATGTGATCGGGGAAGGACTTTCTAGATGAGGATTAGTGAACAGAGACCTGAACAAAATGGAGAGCAAGAGCCCTATGAATAGTTGGGCAAAGAGTTTTCTAGGTGGAGGGGACAGCAAATACGAAAACCTCAAGATAAAGTTTTAGTATTCTAGAAACAGCAAGAAGATCTCTAGGATTGGAGTATGCTTTGCAGAGGAAGAGCTTGTAGAAAACGAGAACGGGAAAACAGATGTGGGCCAGATGTGACAAGGCCTTGTGGCGTGGCAAGAGGAGGATGTTGGGACGCTGTGGGGAGAAGGGAATGTTCTGATTTATGTTTTAAAGGGGTCACTCTAGCTGCTTTGGTCCAAAAGGGAACGCTATTGCAGTAGTTCAGCAAGGATTTGTGTAGTAACAGGGGAAATGGCAAGAAGATACATTTTGAAGGAAGGGCCGATGGGCTCTCCTGATGGATTGGATGCGGGGCGAGAGAGGGAGAGCCAAGGGTCGCGCTGTAGTGTGGCGCCACTGGCTGAGAGGAATGCTGGGAGAGGGGTGGGTTCTGGTGAGGACCAGGGCTCTCCTGTGTGAGATGCCAGCGGACGTCCAAATGAAGGTCTAGTGGGGAATTGAGTATGAGTCTGGGATTCGAGGAAAAACTTGAAGATGGGCATTTAATTCTGGGAATTAATAGCACATCGAGATTTAAAGCCATGAAACTGGGTGAAATCTCCTAGGGATTAAGTATAAAAGGATCCTCTCCATGGTGTTGTTTAATGTGTGACTGTTTCCTTTATCAAATCAGACTTAAGTCCAACTTTTGGGGGAAAAGTACCTCATAGTTAGTTGCATGTACTTCCTGTTATGGTGCATGAGGAAGCACTTTGGTTCTTCTTCTTTTTAAGATATTTACGTTGACTAGTGGGTTCAGGTGTTGCCCCTCGGGTCCATCTGTTACAAAACTCCGTCGCCATCATGTCATGACTTACGGTGTTAGTAACCATCGATGATTATGTCCTAGGCCCATTGTGTCGGTGGGATGGTGAAATGGTGGCCTCGAATGCTCTTCCTTCCTTCTTTATTATTTAAGAATAAATAAATAAATACTTATTATTTCCTTAAATAATATTTATTTACTATTCCCTTCTTCTTTATTTATGAAGAACCATTTTACCTCATTGACTATTTGGTTAACCTGAGATACAGGAAAGGTAGGATTAATGCTTAGAGAAATTTCTAATGCTTAGGAAATTCTAAGGTCGACCCTTTTATGATGATGCCTGAGTCTTTAAACAAGCTTGTATTAGCCTTTGATAGCTTCCTTGTTTTCCTGTTATGGCAAGATGCTCTAGGATGCTTTCATTTTCTGTTCCAGACTTGAATTAGCCCTTCTCTAAGGAGTCCCACAGTCCTCACTCCTAACCAGTGTGGAGTGGTTTCAGGGTACCTTTCGTTTCCTGCGGTCTAATGGTGGTCTCCCCCCGCCCCCAAACATTTCTTCTATTCTTGTGTGTACTGGAATAGCATGATAGAATAAAAGTACTTTTAATATGAAGCATATTCACTTACATTTTAATTATACAGTTTCAAGTGACTGGATTTATTTATTAATTCCTGCTATTTTATTGAAAATACTTGACACTGTGTAATGCTTCATTCTTACTGGCAGTATAAGTGTCCATCAGTTGTGTACCTTCTATGCTGATTTCAGGCTCCAAAATGGAGAATTAAGGGTTTATGTTTTATATGAGAACATTTTGTAAACTCTTGCTCACACTTTCCTTTTTTCATTTTATATTCATATCCTTGTGGCTTCATTGGGAGAGCAGTGACATACCACGCTGAGTTCTTTTTTCATTATCCAGCGTACTGATTGATCTCATGTGATAGACCTCTATAAAGCAGTGTCATACTTGTGCTATTTGGGGCTTTAGGGAAGAGGGAATGAAAATGTACATCAGAAAAATGAGAAGTGGATGTGGCATTGATCTTGGGCGTCTTGAAGGACTGACTGCCACCCTGGCGCTGCTGGATCGATTAGCTCCGTATGGAAGTCTGCGCTTCAGAAAATAAAGACCCTATTCAGACTACATGCTAAGTGTCCAGCATTGGAGCGTCTGAATATGCAGTTTTTTCCTTAAGAAAGAAAAATGAAAAAGGCGTTCTTTCCCTTTCTTCCCTCCAGTGATTTACCAGAACTTTTTTACTTTCTTCAGGTAATTAAACCAGAGAGCAGCGACAAAGAAACAGAAGGTGCTTATGAATCAGATCTCCCTGAAGAGCTCTGTGGAAGCCATCTGCAGCCGTCCCTGAAAGGCCATAATGACAGTCCTGACGTCATCGTGGAGGCTCAGTTTGATGACAGCGACTCTGAAGATGGACATGGCAACGCAGCGAATGTTCTGGTCGACGGTGTGAGGAAACTCGCAGTGTGTGTTCCTGAAAGAGGTGAGCGCTGGACTGCTGGCTGACGTTTTATTGTAGTAAATTGATAGTGCTAGTTATTGGAATTCTCTCTGTCCCCCAGAATTAATCGCACAGCACATTTGGTATCTTTTCAATTTCTAGTGTGGGTCAGCTTTTAGGAAAGGGGACCTTTGACAGACCTCTAGCTCCTGGGTATGAGGAGGGACTACATGCCACTGGTGACTTTTGTGGTTGGTGGTTGCTGTTGTCATTTCCTAATAGGTTTGAGTTTGTCGATAGCTACCCTGAGGTTTCCTGTGATGAGCCTGTCCCACTTTATGGTTGATAGGAACAGAATTAACCAGATCTTTAGAATCCTTACACAAAGCACATTTTACCCTGGATTTTCTTTAACACTGTACATTTGGAAACTATTTATGTAATTGGTGGTGGGAATGGATCACCTTAACTTTGATAAGCAGATTATTTTTACATTGATGAAAGAATGTCCAGCCTAAGAAAAAGTCTTCTAAGAGTTTATTTGAGCTAAACTGATGACAGTCACCGGGAAGCAAAGTCTGAACTAAGGAAATGCTTTGGAGAATGGCAGATTTGCAGCCTATTTTCTACGTGAGAGTCAAGGGAGGATACATTGGTCAGGTTATAAGAAATTCACTGGTGGTAGATTAAGGGGGTGGGAGAAGGCCACGGTGGGAAACCTCTAAGAGTGTATAAAAAGCAGAGAGGAGAGACGTACTTCTTTTACATTGGTGGCTACAGGACAGTTCACATGCACAACACGTGGAGATGTATGTGGGGGAACAAGGTAACGAGGCGTTCCGGGGTCTGGAAAAGAAGACTCTGACGTTTCAAAGGTATTTTATCTTAAATGCACAAAGACAATAGACAGCTTCAAAGTTAAAGATCGACCTTTGTCCGGGAAGCTGAAGGCTGAGGCGGCTGTTGGCGGTCTGCTCAGACCTTGCTGGGCTACCTTGGCCTCCGGGGTTTTAAGGCCTGCCCACTGGTCCTCCCCTGAGCTTGTCAGGTTTCCTTGGTGACCCTGTTCTGATCACACATTACAAAGTGTTTTTTTTTTTAATTGTATTTTAAAGCTTTAAAAAAGCTAGTCTTATTTTCTCTGATCAAAATCTAAGCCTTCTGTCCTCTGAATGCGAAGGATAGCAATTGCGAACACATGGTGAGGCGCTGGGCCCGAGGGCTCTACCTGACCACATCCTGGGAGTGTAACAGCAGGTGGCAGTGAAAATTGGAATATGGCAGTGTATTGATTTCTAAGAGATTTTAAATGCAGGGAGTATATTTTTAAGCCAAATTGAGTTTTATGTATATTATGAAATGGAAAAGATTGACCTGGTTAGGCTGACTACATTAATAGCTTTTTATCAGGAGGGAGCTTCTGGCATAGTCCCCGTTAAGGGCTAGAACGGCCAGGGGATTACTAAAGGAGAATGTTCAGCAGACCCCCTGTGAGGGGCTGGTGAGCGTGCCTCACTGACAACCTGATGGAAGCCGGCGGTGATTTCAGGAGATGGCTGCGTAAGAATCAGGTGGCCGCTCGCTGCTGAGTAGGTGGTGGCCTGGTGCTAAGAACGGTGGTACCTTGGTGCTCATCTGTACTCGTCGTTAGTTCTTTCCGGAACTCATGGCGGGTGCCGAAACCAACAAGTACCGACCAATGAAGCGTTTTCTCTTGCGGGGTGGCGTGGTGACTCAGACAAGTTCTAGCCAGTGCAACAAGTCCCGATCAAGCACTGAGTGCTGAAACACATTTTCCTTGTCAAGAGTGCGATGGATACAGGGTTTGATGAGTTCTGAGGCTGATGAATACCGAGGTTGGACTGTACGCACTCAGAAGGACTGCCCAGCTTTGAAATTCTCTTTGAATGAAGAGGCTGCCGCTTTCTCATTGCCCCTCACGCTGCTCTAGGTGCAGCGACCGGAGGGTGCCCAGGTCCTTTTGTTTCATGGCCGCCTCCATACCTAGCGGTCTTTCTGTCCAGGGCCCAGCCAATTCTGCTTGGCTGTTACTCTTCAAAATTTCACTCTTCTGTTGTTTCTTTCTCCTTCCTTTAAAAACAGTTGGATACTATGACCCTCTTCTGAGAGTGCGTGTGTATTATCATAATGGCGTCAGTGCAGTGAGTCATGTTTTCTCTATGAGAAGAGAGGGAAATAACCAGGACCCTAACTAGCCAAGTTCTTCATCATAAAGATCACCATGGGAGGGAGATACTTGCAGTCCGAAGTCAGGCAAAGGAACACGTTAAAACTTACTGAGTATTTGGCCCGAAACTACTTCATGGAAATTGAGTTCTGATGATTGGATTTGGCAGACCTCAGCCGCCGTTTTTTTCCCTGGGCTCCAAGGTGAGGGGATAGATGCCTTCATTTCTCATTAGTGGTTGGTACCAAAACAAGGGCAAGGAAGTATTGATGGATGGAAGCGATGACAAATTGGGTGCATACTAATAATTTACTTTGCACTTTGTTTTTGGAAAAGTGCTCTTGTTTTGTCCTCTATTATAATTCCCCTCCTTCTCTCTTACAAATAAATATCATTGAGTGCTTTACAAGTCCACCGAATGCTTGTTTTCTCTTTACTCTTTTTATAGTCTTCCTATCCTACTCTTATTTATATTGCTTCCTTACTAGCCCTGACTGAGGGAACAGCCTTAATCTTTCCCTCAGTATCTGGTACAAATTTTTCTTTCCTGCTAGCCTCTAAATAGAGAGTTTGTGAAACCACATGGCTGTTTCTCATTTCTTGCCCTCTTGATATTTAGGAAAATTGCAATTTGCTTTTTAAAAAAATCACAGTGCTTTTAAGGATATTTTAACCAGCTTCTCTTGTCCGGATAATATGAAATCTGGTTATAGTTAAGCTGTTAGTACTTTTTGCACCATTTAAGGTTTTGAAATTTGTTATTGAAACTAACCATAATCTTAAGAATATTGTAAACTTTTCCTTAGACTTCTAGAAAGGTTCTTTGCTTTGTGTTGTAATTGCAAATGGATTATTTTTCCTATTTCACACTTGTGTCCAAAGGAGTGTTTTTTTCCTTTGTTTACTTTTGTTTTAATATCACGTTTCTTTACCCAAAGCAAATGTTACATAGTGCATGTGTATCCGTCATCTACCCCTGTTTGCCCAGGAAACATTTATATCTTTACGGTGACTACCAGTTTCTCTGTGAAGGAGTTGCTCCAGCTGTCCGCAGCAAGCGCCTGTCATTGCGTTGCAAAAAGTTTCTCTGGGCATCTCAGACCTACACAAAAATGTCTCTGGGAAGACAGCAGGGTCTGCGTCACCCTTAGTCCCTGAGAGACAAAAAGTGGGGCAAAGACCTGGACCCCTTTTGTAGATCCAGTCCCGCAGCCTCCCGAGGCTGAGCATCGACCACTTGCCAGGCAGTGGTGTTTTTGTCCTCACAGAAGTCCACCGCCTGCGTAGAGAGTGGGACAACCCTGGTGAGTTTCCTTTGGTTCAGATGCGTGGGTAACGGTGGCCTGGTGTGCAAGCTGCGAAGGATAGAAGTCATCATGGCCAGGTGATAGAGCTTGGCCACATTTGCTTCTGTTTTTCTCATCATCCGCATGTTAAGAACAGTTCTGGCCTCTGAACCTTGGTGATCATGACCTTATCAGGGCATGAGTTACATTTCCTCTCTCCTTCCTAGTGGCATCTGCCAGAGACCTTGCATAGTTTTCTGGCCTGGAGACAAGCCTCTACCAGTACCGTGATGACTGAACATGGGGCGGAATGTGGAGCTGGTGACCCTTTCACTATTCTCTTCGGTCTCCTGGTCACCTTCAGTTCTTTTCTGAAGGGACAATCCATGTGGACCCTCGATCCCGTCTGAGGTTTGAATTGATCTACTACTGACTTCAGGAGCCAGAAAGAGCTCTTTTCTCCCTTGAGATTCCTCTCCTTTCGATGACTGCCCTGATCAGTGCTTAGGTTTAAGTTCTCATTCTTTGGCTAAAAAGTAACTGTGTTTCCCGTTGGCTGAGAAGATTCTCCTGTGACGATCCAGGGCGGCTGAGCTCCCCAGAGCCCTCTCTTTTCGCTGTTAGGAGCCCTCTTCTTTCTCAGGAATAAACCTCTACATTTTCTTTTGGAGGCCAAACGTTTCTGCCCTTCGCTTCCCAGCTCTCCACTACACGTGTATGTGATGTTTAGTACAACTAGAATGCAGCCAGTCATGTTTGCTTCAGAACTATATTAAAAATTAAATATATAGCAATTTTCTACCAACCACAATTTTGGACAGTATTTTGTGCCAATGTTTTAAAATCTCATAAAAAATGTAGGTCCTTGTATAGGCTTATGTTAGAAAGATGTAGTAGGAGTTTTTGCTTCTCTCTCTTTTAGACCAGCTGGAGAGTATAGTCATATCAGGCGTGATTCAGGTAGAGAAATTACATCCTTCCGAGTGGGCTGAGTACACCCCCTCTTGTAGTTGAGCCTTGGTTGCTGTTGGGAGGTCAGTAGGGGGGATTTACCCAGGCCAGTCAGCTGCAGCGGTTGGCCCTGGCCACTTACCACCAACCTTTGCCCCCCGTGGAGGATCAGCTGTGCAGGGGCAGGGTGGTGGTGCTCCTATGTGGTCTGTAGCTGTCCACTGGGTGCGCCAGCCCTGGGGTGTCCCAGGTAGTGCAGGCCAAGGTCAGCCCCCGCCTGTGTTTTGCCCCCGGCTGCCCTGCCTGAGCAATAAAACACTCTGAGATGGCTGCCACATGTGCTGGTCTTGAAGATTCGCAGGCGAAGCCCAGCTGTGAATCCAGGCCGGCTGCTGCTAGTGCAGGTCCTGGGGCTCACTGTGGCCAGCTGTTGCTTGTTTGAGAGGATTTAGGAAGTTGTGCAGTGTGAGTCAAGACCAGCCATTCATATGGAAAAGCAGCTTGGGTGGGCCCCTAAGATGGGTGGGGTGTCTGGAGATCTCCAAGGTGGATCAAACACTGTTAGCCAGGTTGATGGAGTCTCAGGTATGGCACCAGCCCACGGGCTCTGTCGGGGA